TACCTACGTCTTGGAGCCTGTTCTTACGCACTGCAGTATTCATCAGATCTTCCTGAACTCTCGTTTGGGAAGATCCTTTTGCTGGCTAACCCCACAGCCTGCGCTCTTGCGAGGCCAAGCGAGGCTGATCAGAATTATGTAGATTGAATTTGGCCTGAGTAAAGACCGATCCCAGGAAGATCATTGCTAGGTCCTGCAAAAAGAAAACTCTTTAGATCACCTGAAATAGCAGTGTCAGGCGTTCGGAACAGATTGTTCGAGAACGCGTGTACTGAGAGGGGTCTCCAGTGGAGGGCACACGTGGCGTCGACGCGAATTGCTTCCGCTCCATGCTTACAATATGTCACGGTAGATAGATAGATAGATATGTATATAAAGACCACTGAGCAGCTGGGGCAGTCGAGATATCACTATGTAGTCACTCCCCAGAACGGTTGACCTGTCCTGCGGAGGCATTTCTACATAAATATGTTAGGACAGAGCATGTGTTTCGCATAAGTACAAGTGCGAACAACTAGTACCACTTTATAATGGAGTTGAAATCATTTCATTGTTTCCCATAAAAAATCTGCAGCTGGCCATGCCGGCGACGGGACAGAATCGACTTCATCAATTGTCGCTTGATTTACATAAACTACAACCAACTTCGCAACAGTGTGCAAATTACGAGCGAGTCCGCATTACAAACACGTCCTTGAAGTCACCGATAATCTGTAAAAAATACTTGCGGGAGAGGTCCTTTGCAATATGCATCCCTCATATCGTCTGGAGTTCGATGTCATCGTGATATTCTAGAGGTTAACAAACAAAGTTACTGTGCGTAGTGTCTATCATAGGGCTCCCGCCCCGCAAAACAATAAACAAGGATACCAAAAAAAAAAAAAGGAAAGAGTACAGCTAACGTTTTTCTGCCAATCCGTTAGATATATATCGATGCCTAAAGCCGGTGCAAGAATCAAAATGAGGACAGTGGGACCAATATGTATTTGCGCTCGTGTAGAGAAGCGCAGGATATGCCTCAAGGAGAGAAAATAAAAAATACGCGACTAGAGCAACGTGGAAAAATGAGATTAATCAACAAGGCACATTGCATAAATCGACAGCTTCAGCGAGTTCACAAGGAAGTCTTGAGATGCGCCTATATGCATACACAGTCAGGGCCGAGTCGCATAAACTATTGGAGGCATAGTACCTTTGCAATTTTCTGTCCTTCGGATAAAATAAGGAGGCAAGATTGCAGCCCCTTTAAACAACCACTGAGCTTCGAGCCAGGAGAGGAGATGACGGTCCCAGAAAGCCTTGAATATATCGTGGAGCACGTCGTCCCATGGATTTGAAGCTCGCGAGAGATGGAAGACCCAGTTTTGATATGAGTACTTCTGGGCGTCCGAAGCAGATCGACTATTTTCTCGTGCTTCCTTTGCGAACGTTACGAACGCCGCCATAGCACGTATGATCTCCATGTCTGGTAGAGACCGATCTTGTGGGAATGCAGAGGCGGGACACTCCAGGTAATTCAACGCCAGAAATGCCGGAAGCATCAAGAAATCTGGCAAGCTCTTGAACTGATGGATCACTTGACAAGCTGGTGGTGGTAATTCTGGGATGATTGTGTACTCGCGGATGACTTCCAATGTACTCGAAAATTCTTCCATTGCCACCCAGACAAAGGCCGAAGGAGTCGACTGATGCCGTTGATCAGGGTACGTCTGCAACCAGGATTGTCCATCATCGGTCTGTAGCCATTCTTGCCCACCTTGAGACCGTAGCCACCCATGTTCGTCCCGCAACTGAACATCTTTGAATTGGTTCAACCAGCAAGCTTCTGCGTACTGAGTTTGAAGCCACGCTCGCCTGGCCCGTATGTGCAGCTGTGTTGGCCTTACCTGAGACTGCAGCCACGATTGCCCAGGTTGAGATTGGTACCACTCTCGCCCACTCCGGGTCTGTATCCACTCCCGCGCGCTCTGCGTCTGCAACCACTCTCGTCCACTCTGCGTCTGCAGCCACTCTCCGCCAGCCCGGCACCGCAGCCACTCTTGCCCGTCCTGGGTGTGCATCCACTCTCGCCCACCCTGCGTCTGCATCCACACCCGCCCAGGCAGGGTCTGCAACCAATCTCTCCCACGTGAGGTCTGTACCCAGTCTCTTCCTCGTGAAGTCTGCAACCATACTCGCCCACCCTGGGTCTGGAGCCAGTCTCGTCCGCCTTGGGTTTGTAACCAATCTCGTCCGCCCTGGTGCTGCAGCCAGTCTCGTCCGCCCTGGTGTTGCAGCCAGTCTCGTCCGCTTTGAGTCTGCAACCAGTGTCGTCCAACCTCGGTCGGAAGCCAGTCTTGCCAACCCTGGGTCTGCAGCCAATGTCGCCCTCCCTCCGTTGGGAGCCAGTCTAACCCATCTTGAGTCTGCAGCCAGTCTAACCCGTGCTGGGTCTGCAGCCAGGCATACCCGCACTGGGTCTGCAGCCAGTTTCTTCCGTCCTGTGCCTGAAGCCAGGCTCGTCCATCCAGGGTCTCCAGCCAAAAATGTAATTCTGAACCCCGATCTCCCCGAAGCCATAACAAACCTGTGAGAACTTGCATTGGCTCCGGTGGCTGAACGACGAAGGCTAACAACTGCTTTAAGCGCTGTGGATCATGGGCTTCCATAGCTTGACTTTGCTTGTTCAATTTTGAGAGAGCATCTAGGAGGGTCATGCGTCTTGGAATGTCCTTCATCATCAAGCGTAGACAGGATTCAGCGAGTAGCGAGTGGGGTGGTGTGATATCTTGTATTTCAGGAAGGCCGCAGTTCGAGGGGTCGGAAGCATAGTCACGAACGGATGAGTGAAATATATTCACCGGAAGATGACTGTCGGTAGGAATATCCATGATTGACCGTAGTGCACCAACACTGTCTCGACATCACGGCCCAGACCAGGGCCGAGAAGTTTCGAGATTTGTGCGATAGGTAGAGGGTCTGCAAGGGCAGCAACGATAGACAGGTGCTGGTATGCCCGCTTGGGATCGGTACATGTGGAAAGGATAAGGTCGTATAACTTGTACACCTCCGTTCCTGGTAGAAAGCCACACGTTGACTCGAGCATGAGCTCAAGCCGATCGCGGGGATCTTTGTATCCATCATTGACGATAAATTTCATCATCGTAGATGCCACGATGAAACGTCTGCCCGCTCGGCTAACCAGCCGCATGAGTTGATCTCCTGATGGCTGAGGGAAACCGGGATAGCGATGTCGTAACTGTGTAAAGGAATGCTCCAAGAAAATATAGATGTCCTGTTCAACATCTATACCATCCAACGAAAAAATGGTACCGTCCCCCGGTATCTGGTCGACATCTGCGCCGTCTAACGAAAGTACGGCTGCAACACCCTTCCCAGTATCCCTCATTGGTATCTCACACACCAGCGGGCGCATGTCATCGCCCTGAATTGCTTCGTCAATATGTGCTTCCGAGCGACTGGTGAGCAGAATGTGGATCAGAGGTAGTTTCGGGATCACGAAAAGCTCGGCCGAGCAGGAAGATGAGATCAGCAACCTTGGTTTCGGACGTGCATTCATCAAGGGAATCAATAACATATACCAAAGGCGGACACCCGCGCAGCCTGAATTGAAGCTTGCGGAGAGGTTGCAGAAGAGAGGCGCCTCCATCTGGTCATGAAGAAGACTCATTGGGGTCCAGAAGCGCCGGATTCTCGCGGATAGCTTTGGTTCACGTCCTCCCCGGATGCTAGGAAAATTGCTAGCAAGGTGGGTAGGCAAGCGTGGCAAAAAAATAACCAGTCGGTGCGTTGTTTGGTGTGCTTTGCGCGAGAAAAAGAACGTTCCAGCGAGTCGCTTTTCGTTAGTCGTGTGGTCCGTCGCACTGAGAGCTCTCATCCTCTCAGCCATAGTGAACGCAACGGCAGACTTCCCGACGCCAGCCGTGCCACGCAGCCAAATAAGGTGTCTCTTCCTCGGTTTTCTAATAATCCGTGGATGTAGTTGAGAAGATCAACTCTGGTCCCTCGCAAACATTTCGGATGGGGCTGACGATCGGGGGAGTCATTTCAGCACCCTTGACAGCAACCTGTGACAGCATCTTCCAAGTTCCATCAGACGATATAGTGACTGTACATGAGGTCAGAGAGAGGGAGAACGAATCACATAGAATACTGACTTAGATTTTGATTCGACAAAGGGTCGTAGCAGTCATTCATCTCGTCAATAAAATGACTCAGGGAGTACTAGTTGGGGTGTGTCGGGCGATTGAACAGCGATGGTAACCTTGAAGGACAACGTACGAAGTTGCTTGAGCTGAAACGGTATCGATTTAATCGATTTCAGCGTTGTGGAAATGCTTGCTGGATGGTGGTGGTATGTGAATCAAACAATAGACGCACGACGATAAGAGCACGATGGGTCCCTCCGAAGCATGCACTGCATCGTGGCATGCTCCCGTATATACCGAAACATTTCTCGAATTCCAAACCTGGATAAGGGGCATGCTTTCTCACCGGTTTCCATGGCAGTTTTAATTATGTAATAATTGAGATGAGAAATTAAAAATAACTGATGCACACCGGCGGTTGCTAGTATTCCTAATATTAATTCGGGTTCTGACACAAAAATTTTCAAACTCAGCACAACCTTATCCTTCAGACTCCAGAGCAATGGATGCTATGATGGATAATTTATCCCGAGAACTTCTTCATTGCAACGTATTGAATCTGTTGGCAGATATCAAGAGCTTGGGCTTGAACTCGAAGACCTGCTTACAGTAACTTGATACTTAGGTCTTGAAATCCGAATAAGGACTCCTTCCGACATTGCCACAGCCTCGCTGTGATGGCTTGTTCAAACACGTGACGTTACTACTCGCCAATATAGGCCTTTGCGGCCATATTTTTCTCCGGAAAAAGTCGAAACGTCTGACGGCCCCCGGCCCCTGCCAATGACGCGAAGGTTCCTATTTGAGAGCAACAACATTACGTTTATGTTTGTTCCTATTTTGAATCAGAGTAAGCGAGCGAGCACCAACACATTGTACTTGTGACCGTCATGTCTAGGCTTGCCTCCAGATCTATCAGAGCCCTGTCGAGCGCACGCTCTGCCTCGAACCGTACCCTCGAATATGGCTGTTCGGTCCTGGACAAGATCAATTTCATCCACTCCTGTACGCGCAGCAGTACATCGCGGACCTACACTCGCAACTCTGCCTCAGGCATCCACGCCCCAAAAAGCTGCGCCGTCGTTCGGCGTAGCATCCCCACAATGTACGTCCCACTTTTTTGTCTCTGACTTGTTCTCAATGGATTATTGATGTACGTCCAGGTCGATCCATGTTCATACAGACAGAGACTACGCCCAATGACGATCTCTCAAATTCATACTGGTGTAGGTGTCATGGGCGAAGGAACGGCCGAGTTCCTTGACACGCGATCAGCAGTTAAAATCTCCACTTGCAATCCGTCTTATGGGCATTGAGGGTGTCAAAGCTATTTTTTACGGTCCGGATTTCGTCACGGTGTCGAAAGACAGCGAAAACCCGTGGGCAGTCATCAAGCCAGAGATTTACTCAATACTTATGGAGCATTTTTCTGCCGGTTTACCACTTTTCCGATCGGAAGAGGACAGAGAAGCCGCCGGCCCTCAGGACACTCAGATTCTTGACACGGACTCTGAGACGGTAGCGATGATTAAAGAGCTGCTTGAAACTCGTGTCCGACCAGCGATCATGGAAGACGGTGGCGATATAGAATACCGAGGGTTTAGTGACGAAGGCTTTGTGAAAGTTAAATTGAAGGGAAGCTGCAGAGGGTGCTCATCTAGCGCCGTAACGTTGAAGTCTGGAATTGAGAGGATGTTGATGCATTATATCCCGGAGGTGAAGGGTGTAGAGCAGGTATGTTCATACGTCCCTGCGGTGTTTGCCTCTAGCTGATGATAAATCAGATCTTGGATGAAGAGGAGGTCATTGCATTGGATGAGTTTGCCAAGCTCGAGGAACGGCTGGCGAAGAATGGAAAGAATAAAGATTCCAAGTGAGTCGCTTCTGGCATCAGTGGTGGCTTAACGAGTTTACTCGCACAGGATGGCACGATATATGTCCGTATGAGAGGCTGTTACCTTACACTACTGAAGTTGACTTTATACTCGATGCCTGCTGAGCCCTCCGATGTCTACTGTAGATCATACAAGTAATCTACAATTCAGGCGTCACGAGGGTAATGTCAGAATTATACATATTCCCACCTCACAAAATGATGACCAGGGGACCGACGGTGTCAGCAGCAGCCTGGCTTACTACAAAACCTGCGACATCGTCTAATGTCGTACAAAAGGCCAAGGCACACAGCAGATTTGTGGGAAACATTGACGCAGGACTAATTATGGAAGGTGAAACCGAGTTTGAGTGAAAAGCCAGTATCAAAACAATGTTTGCAAGCGATTGGTATTGTCAGTCATAACTTGGGAGTCATTGTCGATGATCTCAACGCGCGGGAGTACACCGATATTTTTAATAATCACGGTGAGTTCCTACCAGCCTGCACCACTGGTCAGGTAGTAGTCGGATAGAGGAGGCACGTTCGAGCGGTTCGGATGACAGAGGATGACATTGGACTGACATCGCTTGGTTGACGTAGTTTTGACAGACATAGGACAGAGCAGATAACGGGTGCATTCGAGGAGTAGTTAAGTGGAGAGGCAGATGTCTGGCGCGCAATTTATCATTGGCCAGGGAGTAAAAACGGGGATCAAGATCGTGACTGATAGAATACAAGTCATGGGTATAAATGAGGCTGGGGCGCTTCAGCTACACAGCCTATAATACAAGCTGTGGAAAATATGTTACATATAAAAGGTACCAGCTCAGACTTCCAGTGTACTCAACTCTGACTCGACATAAACGCACATTGTGTTGGGGTATCAAGATATATCATAGTAAGTTATGGTTTTGGACTTTGTCGAATGAAAGCTGAGACAGGGATGCACTCGGTAGTTGAAACTGAGGATCATGTCTTCATCCATCATTGGAATTCAGGAGGCATCAGAGATAACGCCCAGCCAAAAATTCGAAGGACATACTGGTTGGGTCACAGGGACCATACATCTGCCAGACGGACAGCGGATGATGACTTGTTCAAGCGATGGCTCACTGCGGATGTGGAACCTGAAGAATGGGAAACAGATAGGAGACGACTGGCGGGACGGAGATAGTGAAGTACGGACGATAGCATTGTCTCCGGATGGGAAGAAAGTGGTTAGCGGCGGGAGTGTGGATGGCGCAGTGAGGTTGTGGGACATCGACATAGGCAAAGTCGTCGCGAAATGGATGGGACATACGAATGCGGTGTGGTCTGTCTGCTGGAGTCGAGATGGTCAGCGAGTAGTGAGCGGCTCCTACGATGGGACTGCAAGGGAGTGGGACGTGGAGAACGGAGAGACAGTCCTGGGTCCGATTGAGACTTGGCACGAACGCGTGGAGGCAGTTGTCTACTCGCCAGGCGTGACCATGTTTGCGACTGCTGGAAGCTCGGTTCCTGATTCTGAGTCCGCAATCAAAATCTGGAATTTGAAGACAGGCGAACTTGTTGCAACTCTCAAAGGACACACAAATTGGGTGTATTGCCTGGCTTGGACCCAGTTGGCGCTTATATCTGGGTCAGTTGATTCCTCAATTAGGACATGGGATACAAAAACATGGAAGGAGATCGCTGTGCTCGGTGAGCACACCAACGCTGTCTATGCCATTGCATATCACCAAATGGTCGCATCCTCGCAAGCGCATCCTACGACAACACAGCTCGATTGTGGAATCTCGACAACGGCCAGCCCATCAGTTCCCCGCTCAAACATGCGCATTTCGTGAACCGCGTGTCCTTTTCAGCAGATGGAAAGCTGCTAGCTACCGGCTGCGATGACCACAACGCGTATATATGGGATATTTCTGCGATATTAAAAGAGGCTGGCCTCGACGACCTTCTTTTGGACCAGCGCGACAAGTCGCTACTCGCTGTACGTGACGATCTCATCAGCAGTTCTCTTTTCATTTAAGCTTGCGCATTCTAGACTGATGCTACACCACATCCTGTCCGTCAGTCAATCATGGAGTCCTCTCTGGTACCCCGTGGTTTTTTAGAGGACACACCAAATCGTGCTCACGTACGTCGTTAATAATGCCTCATGCACTGGTCCTGTTTTTATTGTCTTAATGGTCTCAGTTGTCTGTACAACACCGTCCCCGGCCTCTATCATTGCCATCGCGTAGAAACACTCTTCGTGGCCGTTTTTTGACTTTATTCCGCCCCATACACCCCGACTCGGATGCACACGATGCGCCACCCCGACCCCGTCCTTTCCACTTGGTTCGAAATCATCTTTCTGGCAAGTCAGGTGGTGCAGACATCGAGTTGCACAAGCGCCCCCCAAGAGTAGTTGAAGTCTCCTGCCGGCCGAACAGATACGTATGTCACTTTATCCTTCTCGGATGTTCAACTCCTGATATCATTTTCTCCTTATTTGCCAGCCGCTACTTGTATGTCACTTTGTCTTCTCGGATGTTCAACTCCTCCTGATATGATTTTTTTCCTTCAAACTCTATCTCACATCACGTAGAGAAACGATTCAGCAAGAGAGAGACGGAGGCCAATCTGGGAAAATCCTGCTGCAAGCAGTTCACGCCCTCCCAATAGCACCATCACGCAGAAATTCAGCGGCCCAGCTCATACCCAGTCGTCTTCGCAACTGCATGCTGCCGTTTCCACCACCACTGCACCTCCCATCGTCGCTAATACAACTTCAAATACTAATCGTCATGCCACGACCACAAACGCTGGTCGCTGGGCTCGTTTCTGGCACTTTATTTGTTGCACCTCTTCTGAGTATACTGACGGCCATCATTAATCTTTACGACGATCCATTACTTCCCATATGTTATCCCATCCCTCGAGTACACACAATGAAGGCATAAATTTGTTTATCGCATACTTTATTGGGACCTCGTGTGGAGCCCCGTACATGGGAGCCACGCAATTTGCTTCCACGGAACGATTCTTCTTACATATGGTAGATGGTATATGTCTGGTTTCTAAACTTCATTATCGACGTAGTTATTTGTAACATGTTTATAGGAGCGTGATTACCGGCGTTGGCAGCAATCTTACTTGCATCCAGCCTCAGCTGGCTGGACCCGGCAGTGTGAAGAATACATCGTGTGGAGTCTACAATAAAGCTTATAGCACGTCACCCGTCATCCACTGATCGTGGACACATATACAGCAGTTGCAAATAACGTGAAATATGAATACTGCGATTAGCTCGGCACATAAATAAAGACTGCAACATCGTCTAGCGTCGTACAAAGAGCTAGGTATTGCAAAGGCACACGGCAGATTTGTGAGATGCGTTACGCAGAACTACTTACTAGTAGTGAAGGCGAAACCGAGTTTGAATGAAAAGGCTGGTGTCAAAATAAGGTTTGCAAGCGACGCGGATTGATATTGTCAGTCGTTACGTGGAAGTCATTATCGATTATCTCAATGTGCGGACGCCGATACAAGTATCATTTGTATCGCTGATATGTTCGGTGATCATGACAAGTTCCTGTCAGCCTGCACTACTGGTCAGGTAGTAGTCCGATTAGCACTATAGCTGAGAGGAGACACATTCGGGCGGTTGTGATGACGGAGACCCATCCCTCGATGACGGTTGGATTGACATCAGGTATCATCGCTTGGTTAATGCAGCTTTGACAGACAATAGAACAGCCTGAGCCAGACGACGGGCGCGTTCGAAGAGTAGTTTTGCTGGAGAGGCAAATATCTGGGGCGCAATTTACCATTGGCCAGGCTGTGAAAACGGGAACCAAGATTGCGACTGATGGAAATATAAGTCATGATCAGAAATGAGGCCGAGGGCCTAGGCTTGGGCGCTTCAGCTGCACAGCCTATCATACCAAATGTGAACGTACCAGCTCGAATTTCCAGTACTCAATTCTGACTTGACCTAAACGCCCATTGTGTCTCGGTGTCAAAACACATCGTAGTAAGTGATGATTTTGGACTTTGGTGAATGAAAGCTGAGACAATGATACACTCTATAGTTGAAACTGAGGATCATGTCTTCATCCAACGTTGGGATTGCAGGGTGGATCAAAGATAACGCCCAGCCAAAAATTCGAAGGACACACCGATTGGGTCACTGGGGCCATACATCTCCCAGACGGACAGCGGATGATGACTTGTTCAGGAGACTCGCTGCGGAGTATGGGACTTGAAGAGTGGGAAACAGATAGGACACGACTGGCGGGACGGAGACAATCAAGTGTGGACGATTAGCGTTGTCTCCGGACGGGAAGAAAGTGGTTAGCGGCGGGTGTGTAGACGGCGCAGTGAAGTTGTGGGACATCGACACAGGCAAAGTCATCGCGAAATGGATGGAACATACAGAAAAGTGGTTTCTGTCTGTTGGAGTCGAGATGGTCGGCGAGTGGTGACCGGATCCCTCGATGGAACTGCAAGGGAGTGGGACGCGGAGAAGGGAAAGACAATCCTCGGTCTAATTGAGACTGGGCACCAACAAGTGCACGCAGTCATCTGCTCGCCAGACATGACCATGTTTGCAACCGGTGGATGCGACAAGTGGACTCCTGGAACACTAGCGCAACTGGTATACACAGTACGCGAGGAACCAGTCAGAATTTGGGATGCGAAGACAGGCAAGCTTGTCGCCACTCTCAAAGGACACACACTTTGCGTGAATCAGTTGGCTTGGACCCCGGATGGAAAAATACTTATCTCCGCGTCAACCGACGGGTTGATTAAAACATGGAATACTTCAAATTGGAAACAGATCGCTGTGATGGGGCACACCGACATTATTAATGACATTGCAATATCTCCAAATGGCCGCATCCTCGCAAGCGCATCGAATGACAACACCGCACAATTGTGGACCTTGACAACGGCCAGCCCATTGGCTCGCCCCTCCATCATACGCTTTACGTGCTCTGTGTGTCCTTTGCGTCCAGATGGAAGACTACTAGCCACCGGTTGCCTTCAATGATAACGCGTACACATGGGATGTTTCTGCAATATTACAAGAAGCTGGCCTCAACGACCTTCTTTTGGACAAGCGAAACAAGTCGCTACTCGCTGTACGTGAAACTCTCATAAACAATCCTCATTGCACCCAAGCTTATGCTTTCTAGACTGATGCTACACGACGTCCTGTCCGTCAGCCGATCAAGGTCCTAAATCAAGTACCCCGAGGTTTTTTCGACGACATACCTGACCGTGCTCACGTACGTCGTTAATTATATCTCATCCAATATTGTTTTCATCACAATGTTTTCAGTTGTCTGCACAATACCGCACCCACTCCCTACCACCACCATCGTTTGGACACACCCTTCGTAGCCGTTGTCATCTTTATTCCGCCCTATGCACCCTGATACACGCCATACGCCATCCCGCCCCCCGTCCTTTCCACTGGATTCGAAATCGTCTTTCTGCCAGACGAAGCGCTGCACATATCGAGCTGCATGAACGTCCCCCAGCAGTAGTTGACGTCCCGCTTTGCCAGGCCAAACCCGTATGTCACTGTATCCTTCTCGGATGTTCAACTCCTGATATCATTTTCTCCTTCGAACTCTATCTCACATCACGTAGAGAAATGCTTCAGCAAGAGAGAAACGGAGGCCAATCCCGAGGCCAATCCGAAAAATCCTACTGCGAGCAGCTCACGCCCCTCCCAATAGCACCGTCACGCAGCAATCCAGCGGCGCAGCTCCAAACCCAGTCGTCTTTGCAACCGCATGCTACCGTCTCCACCTCCACTGCACTCCCGTCGTTGCTAATGCAACTTTGAATGCTAATCCTCATGCTACGATCAAACAACGCTGGACGCTGGACCCGCTTCTGGCTCCTTATCTGCTGCACTCTCCTGAGTATACTGACGGCCATCATTAATCTTACGACGATCTCTTACTTTCCATATGTTATCTATTTCCCGAGTACATACAATAGAGGCATAACGTTGTTTATCGAATACTTTATTGGGACCTCGTGTGGAGCCCACACAACAGGAGCCCCGGAAATTGCTTCCACGGAACGATTCTCCTTACATATGATAGAGGTAGATGTCTGGTCTCCTAATCTCGATCATCGACATGGTTATTTATTGTGTTGTAAGGCCATGATGCATGACGATCGGACTCGGTCATATTCCTGTCAATGAGCAACTCGGTCCTCATGTCAGTCAACTTAGTACTGGGGACTTGAAGGTCCTCGGTATTTGTTTTCAATATCCTACTCCCTCAGAGGCAATCCATAAGTGACATCGAGATATGCATATGTTTATTTGAACCAGGTCATAAAATAATTAATACCACACTATTAAGCCAACCTATGACAACATATTTACGAGCGGTAGGTGGACCTTGTAAACAGATGCTATCATGGGGATGGTATCATTAATCCATTGAACCGAAATACGGCTCCGTAACCGGACATGACTCTCATTCACTGACGCCTGAACGCTCAATACTGAGGCGCATTCATTGGGTACTGGTCTTGATACGATTCTGGAGACTTGTAATCTTCGCTTGAGGGGAAGCACGAGGGCTGCAACACAAGTAGATGATCACAACGGCATACTCCATGAGCATATCCATTACAAGGTAGATCTGCCATTCGCACCGTGAAGATGTGAATTTTGCGAGGGATCGCTAGTGTCGGCTTGGGTAGGTTGAAGGTTGAGGTTATCGAAAAACGAGCTCGAAGAGAATGTGGACAATATGCTGTAGAGCGTCCGAAATAGCCAGGAAGGGAAGTGCGACGGAGATGGCCTTCAAGAGCTGAAGATAATGCGTAAGAACATTGGTCGGATAGATGACGGTGCTTCGAAAAGCTCACCTGCTTGCGGTCTCTCATGACAGAGCGGATTTGGGTCCATTGGTGCACGCAAATGCCGACAAGGATAATGTATAGGACGGCAAAGAGGATGACACCGGCTCTGCGCATAATGTTCCCACTCGAGCTTGAGCCCGAGCTAGAACTTGTCTCATCGGAGATACCGGTAATGGTAAGGATGAGAGCGATCATGCCGAGGAGTTGAAGAGGCGGAATGGTCTTT